TTTTGATGTCCAGGGACAAGAGCATAGCAGGGATGCGTCGAGTTTGGGCAATGTGTGTTAGCAGGGTAAGTCGGCGAACATTGTCACCTGCTTGCCTGCTGGGTATAAAGCCGACCTGATCTTGTGTTACTAATTGCCCGATTACTAAATTCAATCTGTTTGCTAGGACATTTGCGAGCAACTTAAAATCCACATTCAATAGAGATATATGTCTAAAGTTGGAGCAGTCGGAGTGATCCGTGTTTGGTCTGGGTATCATGCAGATGGATGCGGAGAGGGAGTCTCGGTTCAGGGTAGCACCGATTGAATGCAGTTAAAAGAAGCGGCTAGAAGGGGGCGCAAGTCGGTCTTTAAAGGTATTGTAATATGCCACTGTGAAACCATCTGGACCTGGTCTTTTCCCTTTGGAAAGTGAGGTAATGGCAAAAAGGACTTCTTGCTCCGTGATAGGATCCTCTATGGCCGCTATTTGTTCTGGCAAGAGGGAGGGAGGGTAATATCATCCAAAAAGCGATCAGTTTGCGTTGTGTGCGTCGGGTAGGGTGCTGAGTATAAAGATGAGAGGTGTTTATGGAAGAGATCAAGAATGGTAATGGGATTACTAGTTGGGGTGCCTGAGGGGGTGCGGAGTCTGAAGTGTTTAAAGGACGGGTCAAGGGATCTTAGCCTATTGGCTAAGAGAGTGTCTGCTTTATTCCCTTTAAGATAGAACTTGTGAGCTGTACGATGTAATTGTTTGGCAGCATGATCAGTCAGTAGGAGGTTGAGGGCCTGTCGGGCAGCCTCAAGTTTAGATTTGTTGGGGGGGTGTAGTGGAGTGGGTGAAGGTCCTGGCACAAGAGTAGTAGTCTCGTTCCAAAGACTCAAGACGTTGAGTCTTTCCTTTTTTACATGGGATGCTAGTTGGATGAGTTTACCTCTAAGTACTGGCTTGTGTGCTTCCCAGAGCAATGTTGGGGAAATGTCCGGGGTCTGGTTGTGACTTAGATAGTTGGATAGGCAGGTCTCTATGGTACTCTTAATTACAGGGTCAGATAGTAAGCAATCATTCAAAAGTCCATTGAAAAGGTTTATTAGGGAGCGAAATACTTAAGAAGAATAGGGTAACCGCAGAGTGGTCGGACCACGGGACAGGGAGGAGCCTTGACTGTATAATGGAGGGCACTAAAGAATGAGAAAGGAGTATGTGGTCTATCCTGGAGAAGACCTCATGTGGGCGAGAGTAGTGTGTGTAATCCACTTTGTGAGGATTCACCTCTCTCCAGCAGTTGACGAGTGCGTGATTGGAGATGAGGTCACGGAAGGTTTTTGCTGAGGTCAGGTATGTTGGAGAATCCTTGGATCTATCTTTATGGGGAAGGAGGACTAAATTTGAGTCTCTGCACATGATAACCGAGCCCGCGCCGCTGGTTCGTACCTTACCCAATAGGTCTGTGAAAAATGGGAGTTGGTCAGTGTTGGGAGCATAGTAAGAGACTAGGGTGAATTCAGAATCGTTCAGGAGTCCTGTGAGTATTAAATATCTGCCTTGGTGGTCCCGTACTAAGGAGTGGCATATGAAGTTGGCTGAACGGTGGAATCCGATCAATACCCCTTTCTTCTTACAGGTGTCGTTGGCCATGTATATGATTGGGTACTGGGCGCTAAAGTATTTAGGACATGCTGTTGTGGAGAAGTGAGTCTCTTGCAGGCAGACTATGTCAGCATGAGAGGAGCGGAAGAAACGGAATGCACGGGTGCGTTTATTGGGGGAGTTGAGGCCTTGGACATTAAGGCTTAAAATATTGAGGGTCATGATCATAGTGTCGCGGGGGAGCTCCATAGAAGTCTAATAATGATTGATGGTAGACCATTGCTTGGGTTACGGACATGTCTTGCCACATAGCCTGACAAGGAAAGAGATAGAAGAGATAGAGGGGGAGAGGAAGTAGTGAGAAAGGAAAGAGAAGGGGACAGGGGGTACAGGGTTATAACAGGAACAAAAAAAACAATTTGCAGTAAGTACTGCAGGCGGATAAAATCTGCGTCAATGTTGTAACGTTGGGTAGAGGGATCCATACGATCCCTGACAACCCAAGGTCGAGGGAGCACATTGACTAACTCCCCCGGACAACCTTATTCGTTAATATACCGAAAACTTACTTAGTATAGATAACGACAGGGCTGCCCTCAAGGGGCCATTTGAGTCTTCTCGGCTTGTGTGATCCCCGAGTCCGAGCCCCCGCATCCCCCCCAACAAACCAGTGATGCAGGAAGCGCCGCAAGGGCATTTGTGTCATAAGATCTGGCTCGCTGCAGTCTCCGAAGTGACTAACCGTGTGGTTAACATTGGCAGGTACCGCCATGCCAGTGGGTAAGGGGTCATACCTGCAACAAGTACTTGAACAGTAGCTATTCCGTGGGCGTCCACACCACAGGTAGCAGTAACAGAGGTGGGGAACAAATGGGTGCAGAAACATCAGGGGTCGGCTACTCCTGCCTCAGGGAACCGCTGCCAAAGGAAGTAGTCCCGTAGGGAGCTGTTGAGGCTTCTTCAGGATGACCGTCTGTAAAACTCAATAGAAGGTTAATTTGCAGGATGCCGATGTGAATAAATACCTGATGTAGGACTAAAGGTGATCAGTCTGACGGGCCTTGCCTAGGTGTCATCTTTGTTGCTGGACCACGGGACTCTCCCGAGTGGTTGTGGTCAGAATCACTGCGGTTGCGCTTAGTAGAGACGGCCAGAGAGGTGGATGGGCCTTGTTGGCGTGGATTCATCTGGTCATCATCGTCCATGTCACTGCTGGAGGCCGATACAACCTGTGAGTGAGTTATACGTGTGGCGGGGAACGACGCCATTTTGGCCGAGGCGCGGGCCAATGCTTCTGCTATGGACTTGCCTGCGGTTTTTGTTTTTCTGTGTGGTTTTGGATCTGGATTGCAACAGGGCAGGCACCGGGTGTCGCACCGGAGATAGGGTGAGTGGGTTTCGGCAGATGATGAGCTATGTGCTCCGTGCTAATAGGGTTTATGTCCGGAGGAGTCGCGTAGCTGTCTCACTCACCACCCGTCATCGACAGCCGCGTGCATGCGCCTCCGGGTACCACTATCTTGGCCACATCTTCAGCAAGTATCGTGAATCTTCGAGCACAAACGATGGATTGCTACTGGAGTTCTACAGGTGAAATTCGAATAATTAGAATATCGTGCAAAGTTCATTTATTTCACTAATGCAACTTAAAAGGTGAACCTAATATATGAGATAGACTCATTACATGCAAAACAAGATAGTTCAAGCCGTGATTTGTCATAATTGTGATTGTGGCTTACAGCTCATGAAAACCCCAAGAACCCCAAATCCACAACCTCAAAAAAGTAGATTATTACATGCAATCAATAAAACAAGGATTGTACATAGAACAATATCGGACCTCTGAAAAGTACAAGCATGCATATGTACTCAGTACTTGGTTTGGGCCCCTTTTGCAGCACTTACTGCAATTACTTTTGCACGATATTCTAATTATTCGAGTTTCACTTGTATATCATAGAGACCAGATTTTATAGTTAACTTCCCGCATATGAATGTTAACTGAACCAGAGGCCATGAGTAAGTTCATATGTTCCCATTCTTCCTAAGAAAAGGTGTGGGAGAGGTCAGGCTCCCATGCTCGTGACGAGGGGAGATCATTCGGCGAGATTGCATAATTTTTAGAACCAAGTAAGTGATCTGCAAACTAAACTTCTTCGATCAACAGCATTGAGAAAGTGGCGAATTGGGAAGTAGTTCGAAAAAAAGAATAGTCCTGAAGTTCTCAAAACTATCCCTTGTGGAAGACTACTTTTGCTACCAAGGCCTTATACGAATTACAGGTTGGCAAGAAAGACCTCTGTTGACCTGGTGGGAAATCAGGGTTCAGCCTTAGGAGTCAAAGGACTCCATTCGCTAGTAAACTTATTATTTCCTACAAGCAGCATAAAGGATCTGCATAGTAGAAGCTACAGTGGGGTGACAGAAGGAAGATGGTGTGACATGGGTTTTACCAACCTATGGCAGGGAATGGAGGACCAAAGTTGTTCAATTTGAATCCAGTCTTTACTCAGTAGATGTATATTCCAGTTGACAATCTGAACCAGATGGCAAGCCCAGTAGTAATCGCATACATTAGGGAATCTGATGCCTACTAAACGTTAAGGGGTCTCAAGATCCCATAGCTTATTTAATAATCTGATCCAACTTAGCTCCAAAAAGAAAACCTCCCACATAAAAAGTCACTTTTTTACATTTTCTGCCCACCAGCACTTAAGCCAGATTCACTTTGTCAGGTTCAGGTACCTTCACTTTGTCAGGTTCTGGTTTATCCTAAGGAAGTTTCCCTGCATTGCTTGGAGGTTGTGTGGGCTATCAGCGTTTATCTTTCAGCCACAGCTTCCTTTTAGACTTTCAGATTCTTTTTTTTTTTCTACCTGGAAAAAAAAAAGTTGTTATAGGTTCTAGATCCACTATTTCTAAGTGGATTTGTCAGGTTTCCATTCAAGCTTATGAATTGCAGGATAAGCAATTAGTACTTCTTGGGCATTTCAAAATCAGGCTTCTGTTACTTAAATTTGCAAGGCCACAACTTGGTCTTCTTTTCACACTTTTGCGTTTGTATAAAGTTGATGTTTCTGCCTCCTCTGATGCTAGTTTAGGCAGAAAAGTTCTTCAGACAACTGTTTAACACTAACCAGCGTGAATGGATAAATCTCCTGCTGTGTCTTTTGTATTTGAGTATTGTGACAGAATATTTGAACAGTGACGGCAGCTGATTGGCTGCCGGCACTGTTCATCCAAAGATTTTCCATCTGGCTCCTTTCATTTTCTGATTGATGGAAGGGTGCCCCTGTGCAGAAGTGATGGCCAGCTTTAGTATGTATGTGTGTGTATATATATCTTGTGTAAAGAAACGTTATTTATTAAATATTGCATCTTTTTTTGTTAATGTATGCATATCTAAATAAAGGTTTTGTCTCTCTAGTGTTCAAAGCTTCTCTCTGACACAACAGTCATCACGTTTTACCCAAGCAAATTTGTATTGATCACTGATATTCTGGACACCTTTGGTAAGTTTTTTGGTTAAGATTCTCCTAAACCTTTATGTACATAGTGATTGGAGGAAAGTGTTCATGCGAGTTTCATGGATGTAGTTTTTCTTTGTGCATAGAAGCAGATAGATGCTAGTGGTTTGACCAGGGGCCTCTGAGATTAATAGGAAAGGCTTCACTTTAGGGGCAGGACTGTATTGCAAGCATTCAGTAGGGTATATATTTTCAGTAAAACATGGAGAAATGCTTAACACCACCACCTCCTGTGCACTTGCATTCCCTTCCTCTCACTTTGATATACCCCTCTTTTTCACACAATATCTTTCTTTCCCCCTTCCGGGCCCATCGCTACTCTAAGTGGTCTTTCAGACATTTCCTCTAGGGCAGGAGTGGGCAACCCGTGGCTTTGGAGCTGCACGTGGCTCTTTTATCCCTCTGCTGCGGCTCCCTGTCCAGGGGCGGAACTACCGCCGGTGCCGCTGAACTGGGGCCCGAGGCCGTGGGGGTGGGCCAAGTGAGGTCCTGTCCTGGGCACCCACCCTGGTGGAATATGCGGCAGTGCAGGGACCCGGGTGTAACTGCACACTGTTTGCTGTTATTTAATTCGAAAAGTGGATTATAATGGGCAACATTACACTGTAATGTTGCCTATTATAATCTATTTCTCTAATTAAATGATTAGCCAGGGCAGCTGTTCTATCACAGTTTGTGACTAGGTTGGAATGTGTGACCGATGATGTGGTCACACATTTCAATGTATTCCCGCCCAGTTTTTTGGCGGTAGAATGTGTGACCACCAGAAGGTCAAGCATTCCAATGCTTTCTCAGCTGTTCCGGGGCAGATCGGCATCACAAATCGTATGTGCAGGAGAACTGATCTGCCCTGGAACAGCTGTTCGGTCCTGTCACTTCTATCCGACTTTGAGTGGGGTGGAATGTGAGATTGCACTCAGAGTCAGGGGGGTACGGCCGGTACCCATGTGAGTGGTCTGGGGGGCCTCTTACATGAGTATTAGCTATACCAGGGGCGGCATGGAAGAGGTGACAGGGGAGGGGGTGGAGGTGGCCAGGCCCCAGCAGCAGCAGGTAAGAGGAGTTGGAAGGAGGTACAGGAAAGTGACCCCGGCGACCAGCCCACCTGAGGCCCTGCAGAGCCCACCATAGAGAGTCTCAGATGGGCTGTGCAGGATCTATGGTGTGCTCTGCAGGGCCACTCTAAGGTGGGCTCTGCGGGGTCTCATGTAAGCCCAGAGTCCAGTGCGTTACTAAGCCCAGAGTTCAGTGCGTTACTAAGCCCATATATACCTATACATGCTATACATAGCATACAGGTAAAAAACGATATATGCAGTGTTATCTTCATTTTAGCTGTCAAAATGGTTTTGTGGCTCCCAGTGTTGTCTTTTCTGTGGGAAACGGGTCCAAATGGCTCTTTGAGTGTTTAAGGTTGCTGACCCCTGCTATAGGGGAAAATGCTAACCGTTATCTTACAAGGCTTTCTTGCCTGTTTGATCACATGTCCCCTCCTCCAAGATTTTTCAGTTGGTGCAGTCTCAAGATGGCCTTTAACATTAGGATATTGAGGCAAAAAATGGGGGGGCACCACCAGACATAAAGAGTCCAAGGTGTTTTTATTAATAGAAATAAAACAGCATAAAAAACCATTATGTTTTGGGGGTTTACACAATCCCTATCCCAGGGCTGAAGGTATAAATAGAACATAAAGTGACATTAGACTCAGGACTTAAATCTTACAAATGCATTCAATAAAGTTGTTTTTATTACAATGAGAAGGCTATGCGTTGTACTTAAAAAGCCCCAAAATGTAGTCTGTATTTCAGGTGTTCTGTTTCTTATGCTTGTGTCTGGGGTGTGGCATCTTAGCCTTCCTCCACTGAACAACTCTGTACGTGCAGCTATACCTTAACCAGTTGACATCCGCGGTGTTAAACCCCCTTCCCATCCAGGCCATTTTTCAGTATTCAGCGCTGCGGTACTTTAACTGACATTTATTCCGTCATGCAGCGCTGTACTGAAATGAATTTTATACCCTTTTTTGGGGACAGATAGAGCTTTCTTTTGGTGGTATTTATTCACCACTGGGGGTTTTATTTTTTTACTATATTAAGGGTGTGTGCATTTAGCGGGTCTTTTCTGCCCGTGCGTGCCCGCTAGGGGGCGCGCGCGAGCAGAAAAAAATTGCCTACGGGCGGACGGCAAGAGGTTAATACCTGAACTATTATGAAAAATTTAGCTTATTTGTGCATCACTCAGCTGTAGATCCTCAAATCATCTCTGAATTTGTGTTGACACTGTCCTTCCTTCTGGAGGGTGGCTACTTACGTTCCCCATGGTCCCTGTGCGTGTTGTAAAGTAGCCACCGCTCCAAGCTCACTCCAGTGATGGTCTTCAATCTCAATACAAATTAGTAGACTAAACGTGAAATTGTAGCCCATAGCGGGAGCGAGCATGGAGAAGTGTCTACTTTACAACAACTTTATTGAGATAAAAATCTGGGCAACTTTAAAACATAGTAAGGTTGCTTATCTATAGAATGCATATCATATCATGTAGTTCATATTCGCATATCCTATCATGCAGTTCATATTTATGTTTGCTGATAACCGCTTCCTCAGGAGGATACCACAGCACTCTGTAATTTCATAAACGGACATGAATATAAACAACCCACCATAGAGTATTCATACATTCTATGTACTCCGCACAATTGTCAGCTTACATAGACCAACATGGAGCCAGCTGAGGAAAGCAAAACACCTGGGTTTTAATTCCCTCCCAGTGGTGTCAGGAGGCCTGACCACAGAACAAGGGGCATCACTCTAAGGCCCCATTCACACGTAGCAACATACCTTTTGCAGCGGCCGGGATAGCGCAACTTTCGGGGCGACGTTCCAGCGACGGTAGCGCGACCTTCTCCGTCGGGCTCCATTAGAAAAAAGCAAAATCCGACGAAAAAAGGGTCCTGTAGAAGGGACTTGCGACCGCGACATGGAGCTAAGACAGCTCCATTGAATATCATTAGCCGGCGACTTCTCGCGATATCGCGCGGCAAAAATGCGCGATATCGCGGCGATAAATCGCTACGTGTGAATGGGGCCTAAGAGCGCACCCTGAGCTGAAAATACGAAAACATGGCCTCAATGGAATAAAGAAAATTGCAAGACCAAATGCAAATAGAACGGTGGAGGAAAGGAAGAGGTAGGGGAAACAAAGAGAGTGAAATGTAGGTGTATTCATTCCTAGAAAACGCAGCCCTCCAAGAGGGAATGCAATTACCTAAATGAAACAATGTAAAAGAGAGTAAGGAATCTGCCATAATTAATTGAGGGATCGGGATAACCCGCATTATTTGTGGTAATTCACTGTGCTGACTGGGAAAACCTATGATATCTGTGGTAATCCATTTTGTTTCTGGAATAATCCATGTTAACCCGGGTAATTCATTGCAAGTACTGTGATATTCTGTTAATATCAGGGCCTTGGTAAATTGAGATTATTGGGACATTATAGTGGTCAGTGATAAATCCATTGTGTCTCTGTGAGATAACATCAGCTGGTGGGGTAAAACAAATAAATAGAACAAACACACAAATAAAAATCAAATTTGAAATCCCCATAATTCATTGACATGACCTACATGGGGCTGAATGCAACCCAGTGCACATCATGCTCAATGTATGCATTCATTGAGCATCCATTCGATGTTCTATTTATACTTTCAGCACTGATGAAGGGGGGATTGTGTGAACCCCCGAAATGTGTTGGCTTTTTGGATTCTGTTTTATTTCTCCCAAAAATACACCTTGGACATCTACATCTAGTGGCACCCCATTTTTTGTTTCAATAGATTTCTCCTTCAGTTTGGGGTCCCATTTTGGTGGAAGTGCAGCCACATCCAAGCTATCAAGCTTCATAAAAAAACTTCTAGTAAAATAATTGGGCACTTAAAATAAAAAGATCCTAGTGCCTCTCATCCTTTTCCGCTACTGTTAGATATAAGGTTGTCCTCTACCCAAACCTATTCATTAATTTTGATAAGCCTCTTCATGGTTTACACATGACTTTTTGCCATTTATTGGGTTGACATTTAATTTCACAACTTAGCTTAGTGGTGTCAAAATGTAGTATAGGAAACCTAAACTTTTTTTCTGTTTCTCTATTTGTTCTTTTATCTTTCAAATACCCTATGCTTTTTTGCAGGAAAACTTGTTTATGAGCGCATTATGTCAATGTGTATGGATAACCAGTCAGCTTTACCAGGTAATGTAATTAATATACTTAACCCCTTCATGACTGATCTTGTTTTTAGATTCTTCCACGTCAGTAATATACTTTCTTACAAAGTGCACCCACACATATTATATATTGTTTTTTAGAGGACAGATAGGGCTACGTATTTATATCACATATGTGTGTCTAACGCCTCACTTAGGACAAATAAAATATAAAAAAAGAGGAAAAAAAACGTTAAAAAAACACTTTTTTCCCAGTTTTGATTTGTAGTATTTTTTTTACAAAACCAGCACAGCTAAAAAAATGCAATAAATACATTCATTTATTTGTATTTTTTACACTTTTTTTTTTTTTACACTTTTCACAATTTTTTTTGTGACACTTTTCACTTTTTTTTTAAAACTTATAAATGTTATTTTATTTATTTAATTATATCAAGCAGTCATTGTGAATTAATCTCACTATTACTGCTTGATAAATTAATACATTTTTGGTTATTATCAAGCTGCTTCAAACTTCAGAACAGCCGATAATAAGTTAGTGACACTGATCCTGCAGCAGTTCAGGATTCAGCTGTCACTAAAGGTTTTCTGATTGTTGCAACAATGATCAGCAAACTGAAACATTCTTCTTTCAGGAATAGATACATTATGTATCTCAGCGGTTACCAGCCCTCTAAAGCAGCAAATAACTCGTCACGTACAGGGTACGTGACAAGTCATTTGGTCCCTTTGTGGCTGGACGTACAGCGTACGTCTCCCGTCACGAAGGGGTTATTTTATTGTGTGATTGTAAAATACACAATTTTAGTGCACAATGTGAAGGGATGCAGGGACATGGTGATGGCTATGGTTAATGTATAGCCCAGTAGCTATATTTCTCCTATTAAGAGGCTTAATACAGGTCAGGTGTGGAAGGTAGGTATATCCACTAGGGCTGCAACTAACGATTATTTTCAGAATCGATTAACCTCCTGCTGTCCGGCCGTAATTAAACGGCTGGACAGCGGCTTCTTGAATGCGAGTGGGTGTTTTTAAACGTCCCATCCCACCCCGCTCATGCCGCCACTAGGTGGCGCGCACGAGCGGGAAATCAGCCTGGAATGTAAACAGCCAGCGATGGCTGTTTACATACAAGTGTTTGGGTGTCTGTAGAGACGCCCGTTCGCTTGTAATATGCGTGCGGGTGTGCGCTCCCCCTCTGCTGGCGATCCTGAGCTCCGGTGTGAGCCCGGGACCAGCACAGCAGCTCTGCGGCCGGAGATCAGTACACAATCTCCGATTGATCTCCTCCTCCTCTTCTGAATGTAGTAGGTGATGTGTATTACATCACTTCCGCATTCCTCTGTCACTCTCCGGTACAGAAACCAGAGAGAAGCTGGTAAAGCAGGTGTTTGCTTCATCAGCTTCTCTGGGGGTCCCTACGTGACATTAGGGGTCTTAAAGACCTCTGATGTCTCCATAAAGAGGACCTGTCACTGAAAATTGGCTATCACAAAGGGGGCTTGTTAGTCCCCTATGGTGGAGCAATAAAGTTAAGTGAAAAAAAAAAAAGGTTTAAAAGAATTATTACAAAAAAAATTAAAAGTCACATATAAAGATAATAAAGATAAAACAAATTTAAGTCCCCCGCCCCCCACATAAACATGCGTCGGTACTTTTTTCTTTATATACTAAAAAATAAAAACCGCCTTGGTGATTAAATACCACCAAAAGAAAGCTCTATCTGTTCCCAAAAAAATGGTATAAAAGTACAGCGTTGCATAACGGAATAAATGTCAGTCAAAGTACCGCAGCGCTGAATACTAAAAAATGGCCTGGACAGGAAGAGGGGGCAAACACCCCGGTCAGCAAGTGGTTAATTGGCCAAATATTTTGATTAATCGGATTAAAAAAAATTTAAATACCATCTTGTATTTTTAAAAAAAATACATGATTGGAGTGTTACAAACATAAAGTCTACTTCAGAATAAAACTGCATGCACATTTTTTTGCAATCACATCGCACTGGAATGCACGGCATTGCAGTACCGCACGTTCCAATGCAGGCGAACGCACTGCGGGCGGGAGGTGGGTTTGAAGTGCCATTGAAATGAATGGCACCGCAACGCACCTCCCACAGCAGAATTTGTCAGGCTGGAAATTACTTTTTTTCCAAAATAATTGTATATTATTTTAGACATTTTAATTAGTTTCATGGATTTCAAATCTAAATTGAAGAACTCCAAGCCAATATAATAAAATAACCAACCTTTTATTTAAAATAACACATTAGAATTCCGGTTCCGACGCCCGATGCGTTAATTAACGGTCACGGAGCTCTGTCCCGTCACATATCCATCCACCTCCTATAGTAAAAATTTCATTAATTGCCGACATTCACCGGGTACCTGAACAATCACCCGACATTGATCGCTACTTAGAACGGCAGCCGAGGGCTCGCAGATCTCTTAATAGCGCTTGACCCGATGACGAGGCCTCATCCAATATGACTGCTGATGATGGCCCACACTCGGCTATGCAAGGAGACACTGAGGGAGAGTCGACCAGAAAAAGCGATTTGCTCCCCCTGCTGGATCTTCAGGCAATTGCATCTGAAGTTGCTAAATGTCTTAAAGCAGACATTACATGTATAATCACCAGCTCCTTGCAGTCTCATATAGGGAAGCTTAATGACACTCTAGAGGTACACATGCAGCGTATACAAGGCATGGAACGGCGTGTATCTGACCTAGAGGACCGTGACGCAGACACGCAGCGCAATCGTAGTGCCGTGAATGCACAACTGCAAGCCTTACAAGAAAAAGTGGATGATCTGGAAAAGCGCTCTAGACGTAACAATTTAGGAGTCATTGGTATTCCAGAATCAGTCAAGCCCATTGACCTTAGCCATTTTTGTTCACACGTTATTCCTAAAGCCATGGGCCTAGCTGAACCCTGCAAAGTGGAGCGGGCACATAGAATTGGCCAACCCAGAGATGATGATAGGCCCAGGCCGGTTATCGTGCGCTATCTGGATTATCATGATAAGCACACCGTTTTCCAGACTTATAGAGCGCAACGCAATCTCGTAGTGGACGGCCTCAAATTGCTCCTTTTTGCTGACTACTCTGCAGAGGTCACTAAGGCAAGGAAAACTTTTCAGGAGGTATGCCAAATATTGGTGCGCAAACGTATAAAATTTGCGCTGCAATACCCGGCGATATTACGCTTCTCCACTGCTGATGGTAAACTGTGGCGTTTCAACTCTGCACTCCAAGCTCAGAGGTTCCTGGAATCCAGAGATACGCCACCGTTGTCTTCCCCGATGAAAAGCCCACCGAGGAAGAAAAAGGCCTGAGTTGAATCCCGAGTGTGCGGGAAAAGATAATTTGCTACGTGCTGGGTGAGTGCGTCACCATAACTACAGTTTTATGCCTTTGAAGTTCAGGTACAAATTGGTGTTCTGCCAATAACTCTGACTATTTTGCTACCAGTTATCTATATGCCTATTGCATAGGAGAAGTTGATTATAGTCGGCCATTTTTTCTTCAGTGATGGGACGGAGAGAACACTCTCCACTGGATTACTTGGATATGCGGACTTGGCTTGTGGTAGTCGTAATGGCTTCTACCTCAGGTCTACCCAAGAACGCCAGCATTAGGGAAAAAAGGAAGTACGCACGATTGTTTGGTTTCTATATTTTCCTAGAAGTTGTTTGTTTTTTGTCCTCCTCCTCCACAGCATACAATCACCATGCTGATGAAATCCCACAACATGCTTCACTTTTCGTGGAATCACCCCATTCTAAAATTCCTCTGAGAGGACATGCACCGTCACCATGGACTGTCCTCTTACATACGGGGCCTACCACCTCTGGACACTGCGGGAGTACTGGGATGCCCGCTAGTGATCCGCTACACTATGATCCCTTCATAACCTCTGTTTTACCTCTACCTATACTGGTTCAATGGGAACTCCCCTGAACATAGTCACGTGGAATGTTAAAGGGCTGAAATCCCCCAACAAACGACGGCAGATTCTTTGCCACCTCAAAAGCCTCAAGGTTGACATTGCACTCCTCCAGGAAACGCACCTCAAAGAAGCAGACATCTCTTGCCTCCAACAATCTTGGGTCGGCACGGCCATTGGTGCTCCAGCAGCGGGCCGATCAGCGGGAGTAGTCACTCTTGTCAACAGGTCCCTACCGCATACAGTTATTGACCATTGTTGTGATCTTCAAACGGGCAGATGGTCATTTGTATCTCTCCAGCTGGGCTCCCAACATCTGGACTTGTGGAATGTGTATGGCCCTAATTCTGACAACAAACCTTTCCTCGATCATTTACTCTCGCAACTCACCTCGCATTCTTCTGACCGACCTCTCCTGATTGGCGGAGATTTCAACGCAGTTACATCTCCTGGGGAAGACCGATCTCGGGAACTTGACTTTCCCCACATGAGGATTAACCCCCAAGACTCCCACCTACACACATGGGTAGAAGATACTGGACTAGAAGATCTTTGGAGGTATTTTCACCCCCTGGACCGAGAGTACACTAATTTCTCCCATGCACACAATGCTCTATCTCGTATAGACATGTTTTTTTCCACTCCCTCTTTTTTACCTAATTTGGTATCTACTCACATTGATGACCTTGTGATCTCCGATCATGCACCTGTTATGCTTACTGTTAAAAACATTGGCACACAGAGTCATCCCATCGTTTGGCGATTCCCTTCTTATCTATCACAAGATGAAACCTTTCAAGGCGAACTCAAACAATGGTGGCATGACTATGCGACCGACAATGTGCAACATACATCTGATCCGGTATTATTCTGGGAAACTGCCAAGGCAGTACTTAGGGGCAGGGACTTGGCTTATGCCACTTAAAAGAAACGTATGGTAAGGTGCAGATATGCAGAAGCCAGTAAGTTAGCCAGACGGTCCTATCTTGATTACAAACATAACCCTACACCAGATAATAGGTCCTGGCTTCACCAACATGACCTGATCATCAGATCCCCCAGGGACTTGGCACTATT